TTTTTTTTTTTTTTTTTTTGGGGGGGGAAGGGGGAGTGTACACAGAAACACTCAGAAATATATAATAATTTAAACCACCAAAGGGTACATTCTAAAAGCCTGTCTCCTGGCTGCCAGCACTCAGTCCCTCTCTTTCCATGAGTCTACAGTCCTCAGATGCTCCCTTTCTCCATGCCTCCATCTCTGGTGTCGCTGTTTCTCTGGATAAGGTCCCACATTCCACCTGTGCTCTTCTCCCCTTGATGGTTCTAGGGTCCTCTGGTCCTGGACTGTAAGATTAACTACTCCCCCATTTTTGTTGCAAGACTTCTACCTTTACAATTGTGACAGCCGCAATTAGTCATGATAACAATTACTCACTATTGAATCATAAGAATCTTATCCCCGTCTCTTTTAACCAGACCCATCTAGACAGAATGAAAACTATTCAGTGGGGACTCTGTCTTCCCACATACACTCTTAAACTAAACTCCCCCTTGAAACCTTGTAAGCCAGTCACTTCGTGCCTTTATCACCCCCTCATTTTAGATAGCCAATGTCTAAGTTGCCCGTCCCTATCTACCCTGTGTACAGAGGGGACAGCCTTGATACTTGATGTGAAGACTCCTTCCCTCTTAGTTGGTACCTTCACCTACTACATCCATAAGTATAGGTCAAGTTCATTAAATTGTAACAATTTACACTTATTTCCTTCATCAAAAATTGTCATTTTTTTTCTTTTCTTCCTGTAGTTGAGCTCTGATTATCAAGCCATTGAGGCTAGGTCAAATGGGTATTATCTGTAAGTTTGGGTGTTCTTGTGCGTTTCCTTTCACTTCATACCAGCTGGATGCTTCACCTGAGAGATGTACTTTTGACAGGGGAGGATTGGAGACCCCTGTGCATTCAGCTGCAGATTGAATAACTGCCCTAGGCTTTGAGAAACAGCGGTGAACAGGTCTGACAACATGTCTTGCCTTGAAGGATGCTCACATTTGAAAATGGGGAAATAGGTGAGATAAAGAAGCAAAGTAGAAAATAAACAAAAGATTTTGAGTCCTGGTATGGCGCTGTAGGATAAACACTGGATGCTAATCACAATGGTTCAAATCCACCAGCTGCTCCTCAGAAACCCTATACACGGTCGCTATGAGTCAGAATTGACTTGATGGCATTTATAGCAACATAGCAATCCTCCAAATGACCACCCGTGTGCATGATCAGATGCTAAGAACTCATCTGGGTTAGAATAGAAATCACACTGCTCCCTCCACAGGCTCTGTGTTACTAGCCCTTCCTCCCTGTGCTTGGTCTCCCCACCAGTCCTCAGAAAAGACTTGTCCTTCTTTGATCTCAGATCCCTGCCATGTACTATCTACAGGTGAACATGGGTGTTTATTCAGTGTTACCCAATCACACAGCGAGTGTGGTGGCTCCATACGATAAACACTGGATTTCAAACCACAAGGTCCATGCTTCTCCAAGGGAGATTTAAAGCTTCAAAAAACCTTATTTAGGGACGATATGAGTCAGAACTGAATTGAAGGCACTTAACAACTGCGGCTTTCTGCTCCGGTAAGGATTTACAGCCTTGGAAACCCTGTAAGAGTCACTATGAGTCGGAACCGACTCCACGGCACGTAACAACAACAACAAAGATGATTGTTGTTTTTGTTAGGTGCCATGGAGTTGGTTCCAACTCCCAGAGACCAAGAGAATGAAAACACTGCCTGGTCTTATGTGATCCTCTCAGTTGTGCTATGTCTGAACACATTGTTGCAGCCACTGAAGGTCATCTTGCTGAAGGTCATCTTCTTTGTCCACTGACCCTCCACTTTATCAAGCATGATCTCCTCCAGCTTCCTCTTGATAATATGTCCAAGGTACATGAAATGATATCTCTCTGTCCTGCTTTCTAAGGAACATTCTGACTGTACTTCTTCCAAGACAGATTTGTTTGTTCTCTTGGCAGTTTGTAGTTTACATGCAAAAATGATCACCAACTCCATAATTCAAATGCATCAAATTTTCTTAGGTCTTCTTTATGTATTGTCCAGCTAGGGTCAGTCCCACCTTAGTCTTAGAGATGATATCTTTCCTTTTTAACACTTTGGTGAGCTCTTTTGCAACACATTCACCTAATGCAATAGTTGATTTCCTCAGAAGCTATGAAGATGAATGTGATATCACTTACAATCTGTGATATGCAGATGACCCAACCTTGCTTGCTATAACGGAAGAGGACTTACTGATGCAGCTCAAAGGCTACAGCCTTCAATAAGGAGTGTCGTTGTTAAGTGCCATCGAGTAGGTTCTGACCCACAGTGACCCTGTATAGGGTCTCCAAGGAGCAGCTGGTGAGCTTGAACCGCCAACTTTGCTGTTCAAACTGACTTGACAGTCCAGTGTATTAACCTACCACGCCACACCAGGACTCCTCAGTATGGATTACACATTACACCTCAGCGTAAACAAAAATCCTCACAGTGACCAATAAGCAACCTCATGATAAATGAAGAAAAAATCAAAGTTGTCAAAGATTTTGTTTTCCTTGGACCCACAATCAACACCCATGGAAGCAACAGTCAGGAAATCAAGAAATCTATAAAGATGACACCCAAGAAAACATTGTGGGTCACCTTGAGTTACCATTGACTTGACAGCATAGACTTCACGGGGACTGTAGGTCTCTCTGGTGGTGCCATGGGATAAGCACTAGACTACTGACCACAAGGTTGGCAGTTCAAATCCACCAGTCTCTCTAAGGGAAAGAAAATTGAGGTTTTCTGCTTGCGTAAAGATTTACAGCTTTGGAAACCCTATTGTTGTTGTAAGTGCCGTTAAGTTGATTCCGACTTGTATCGACCCTGTATAGGGTTTCCAAGGAGCAGCTGGTTGGTTTGAACTGCCGGCCTGGAAGCACTATACAGCATCGCTATGAGTCGGAACCAACTTGACAGCATTTAACAACAACAACAGTGTTATGCATATACATGCTTTTTTATATGCAGAGAACATTGTTAGAAGGAGACACAAGAAACTGGGGAGAAGACTAGGATTTTCAAGTGAGGAAAACAGACTTTACACTTTTGTGCTGTTTGAATTAAAAAATTTTTTTATTTGAACCTTTAGGTGGTGCAAATGGTTAAGCACTGGACTTCTGAAACTGAAAGTTCAAACCTACCCCGAGGTGCCTTGGAAGAAAGACCTGGCAATCTGCTTCTGAAAGGTCACAGCCTTGGAAAGCCTATGCAACACCATTCTTGTTGCTGTTGTTAAGTACTGTGGAGTCGATTCCGGCTCATAGCGACCCTGCACAGGGTTTCTGAGGCTGTAAATCTTTATGGTAGCAGAACACCTCATCTTTCTCCTGTGGAACTGTTGGTAGTTTCGAACTTCTGACCTTGAGGTTGGCAGCCCGCCTCATAACCACTACTCTACCAGAGTTCCTTACTTTGATGCATATGGGGTCACCATGAGTTGAATTGACTCAAGGCCACTAACCCCACCCCCACCATCGTTTATTCCATTAAAAACTTATGATTCACAATATATTCCAATATTATGGAGGGCGGCGGCTAAACGATGTGCAAGAACTGCGCAGACCTGGTGGAGGTATTAAATGAAACCCAGATCATGGAGCGGCAGGGTGAGAGGTGTCTGGAGACCAGGTCGATGGGGAGACGCTGCCTAGCAGGAAGAGACTGCAGGGGCAGGCCAGGTTGTCCTACTTACCCCGGACGCGAGAGCGCTGTCCTAGCCTAACCTTTGGATCATGGCTTTGAGGTGGGGTCGACCAACTTAGAGACCCACAAGCCCAGCCCAAAGCATCTTACTACAACCCAGTCGCCCCTGCTGCGCTTCTGCCCCTTGATTGACATCCAAGGACAGAAATCCTTCCTTTGAGCCAGACTTAAGGGCCCTAGCACAAGGAGATTCCTATTTAACAGCAACCACGCAACC